CGCGAGGCCCCGCCCCCGGGGGGCAAACCATCGCCCGTGGGACGCAAACCATTGCCCGTGGGATGCAAACCATTGCCCGTGGGATGCAAACCATTGCCCATGGCTTGAGGCTGGTGAGCGGGGCTCTCCCTTCTGCACGGCTTGCAGGGACGCTGGGATTCCTGCGGATGAACGGCGCCCTTTAGCACCGGCCGTGAGTTGCCCGTGGGTATGGGAGCTGGGTTTGGTTAACCTGCCCGTGCTCCCGGCGCCCGCAGCGGGGTGCACCGAGGACATTGCTCGGTGCAGGGCTGTGAGCGCTGCGGGTGCGGGGGACAAACAGCGACGTGCACCGCATGCACTGGGCTCGATGATCTTAAAGGCCTTTTCCAACCTAAAGCATTCCATGCACTGTCCGACCTACGGGAGGTGCAGGTGTTTACAGCTAACACCAGGGTGCTGTGGCTGGTGGTCGGGCGCTAGCCCAGGCCGAGCAGCTGGGTGGTTGCTCCTTCAGGAACGCTTACCCTGCAGCAGAGCACGGGCATCCAAGTCTGCTCAGAGCGCAGCACCTCTGCAAGCCTCTGCCTGGCAGCGTCTCGCTGGGATCAGCAGATGCCATCGTCGCCAGCGTCCCTGTGATGGGGGCAGAGCCAGAATACCTGCGTAGTCAGCCAGAGCACCGGGGGCTTGCCTTCAGCCGCTTGGAATAGAGCCACCAAGGTAAGCGGCGGGGATGGAAAGCACCTTGAAGGGGGCTGGGAACTATAAAAATCCTCCTTGTGTGCCTGTAAGGAAGAACTAAACGCTTCCACCCCACGTGGTTCGTAGTACAAACTGGCGGGCAAACCACAGCAGCCTGAAGTTGGGTTTCCTCAGGGGCAACTTGTTTTCTAAACGTGCCTTTTCCGAAGGAACGGATCCGCCTGCGAAACGCATTCCCATAGTTCTGCACATTCTGAACACGAGGCTGCTTTTAACCGTGTTGAAAATCAAATGAATTTTAGCATCCAGGGTGAGCAATAATAGGGGGGCTTAGCCCCGCGAACAGAGGGAGCCGGCCCCCCGCGCTGCCTATCGGCTGGGCTGCCTTGGTTCTGGAGAGTTTTGCCCCCTGCCTGTGCTATCCAGACCAGTCCTTCCATCGCAGCTCCCTTGCGTCCCCAGGAGAAAAATAAACCTGCTGGCATTGCGGGCAGGCTGCTGTTTCTAGCAGCTTGGGATATATTCTCAGAACCACTCTGTCGTGACATGCAATGACTCTAGACCCATAGATAGGAGGGGTGAGTAGGAACAAGAGGACGAGCGGTGCCAGACTACTTCTAAGCAACGAAAATTTCCCTTCCCTTGCCCGTACTGGTGCCCGTACCCGAGTTTACTGCGAGCAGAGTCGTCCTCTCTAAGACGAGGGCTTTCCAAGGAGGCCTGGTTCTCCTCTCGGTGCCACGGGTTACGGATGCTGGTGCAGCTTCTTTGGCTTACGCTGGTGCTGAGATCAAGGTCAGACCCTTGGACCTGTCCTCTGAACCCCGAGGAGAAATCTGGTAACAGGGGGTGCGGGTTACAGCCGTGCTGCTGGTGGCAGGGCAGAATACACCACCTCTTGCTAGAGCGAACGCTGTATTTACATCAAAATAAAGCTGTAAAATGTAAAATAACCTTGCTCCGGGCTCTCCCGCTGTACTACAAACGCTTTGTCTGCCTTGGCTGACAAAACGCTCTTGGATTTTGATCAAAGCAAGCTAAGTGGAAGCTGGGTTTTCTCTTGATGTTAAGAAGGCTTCTGACAGAGAGAGTCCCTGCAAGACTGGTGAAGACGCAAGCCCCGTGGCAGGCTCTGAGAAGGCATTGACTGTGCAGGACCATGCCAGTATGAAACGATTCCCGCTTCCCATGAAGAAATGGCACCCTTAGGGCTGGCTTAAGGCTAGGCTCAGGCTGCCTGCCCGCCTCTTAGGACAGGCCACCGCTTATGGCTGGTGGCTACCTCGACAGGTCAGAGCCTCAGCGCCCAGTGATTTGCCGTGAGTGGAGGTGGTGGAAGGAGAACCCCAGCCGGAACGATTCGAAGGCGGCGCCTTGGGGGAAATGCCTAGAAAGTTTTAGAAATCTCGTCCTCTGGCTTGCAGGTGGAGGCATGGCCGTCCTTGCCCCGGGCACGGCGTAGCGATGCGCAGGGAACTCGCACCTCCTCCTCCTCCTCTAGGCTGCTAAAACTGCGCCCTAATAAATCAGGGCCCAATTACTAATTAGGGCCAGTTTGGCCTCGCATTGCCAAACCATTACAGCCCGCATCGCTGCACGGGAAGCGCCCGGCTTTAGACTGTGCTGCGAGCAGCGCCCTGCAACCCAGGGCAAACCCCAGGCGGGGAGGGGGGGGGATTTTAAATGGTTGGATATTGGGAAAAATTCCTTCTCCAAAAGGGCTGGAAGGGGCTGCCCAGGGAAGGGGTCGAGCCCCCACCCCTGGGGGGATTTAACAGCCGGGCAGATGCAGTGCT